TAATTCAAACGAGTTCCATATTTTCAATTAAACCCATTTTGTCCTAGAAAAAAAGAAAAAGCAATGTTGCTAGACTAACTCTATAGCTTGAAAATGAGGCAAAAAAAAGAATTTAGAGAAGAAGACAATTTAACTATCACCTTCAAATAGTAAAATCACAATTTTTGCTACGAAAAAGATAAAAATATTGTCACCTGTTAGAAATTCATTCTTAGAAGAAACATTTAGAGAGAGAGAGAGAGTACAATTTGAACAATCTCACAAACTTATATATATTTCTTAGATTTTTAAAATGTCCATTCAAACTTTCTTAATAATCATGAGTGAAATCATTTAAAATTCTAATCATCAATGTAATAAATAATTCAGCATATATATAATTTGAATAAAAATGATCATTAATATCAGCAGCAACATTCGTGTTAATTAACGAATATATATATATATGTATATATACATATACTCTTTACTGTCATGAAGCGAGTGAATAAGCATGTACGACTTACTTTCTTTCATAAATAGGTTTTAAATAAAAAAAATTTAAGAGCTGTGTAATTCAAAGTTTAAAATGAACATCTACATTGAAAAATGTAACTATTTTATTATTTGGCGCATTACATATTTAGATTCATTTAAAACAAAAAAACATTATATATACAAAATGATCACAGACAAAAAAAATAATGAATGTATAAAGACATCAAATAGTATTAATTAACAAATAAAAATATGGGAAAAAAAATAAACAAATTGTATAAAATGGAAAAAAACAAATCTATTTCGCATTTTCTTTTATACAATTGAAAAATTATTCGTATTTTAATAATATACAGAGACATGAGAGAAAATAATTACACTAAATCCGGTAGACATTGACTTCAAAATCTCAAATAAAAAATAGAAAAATAAAAATAAAGAAAAAAAAATAATATTTATAGGAATTTTAAAAGTTAAGAAAAAAGTTGAAGTTTGCCCATGAAAGTCCCTTATCACTTAAAAAGTTTGCATTTGTTAGATTTATCTAATAAATATTTTTTTTAAAAATTTTTAAATCATCTACACAGCAAAAGGTATTTGTAGATAATAAAATGTATAATTTTATTTTAGAAAACAAATTGACGTTTTTCCTGAGTCTCAGATGTTTTTAGTATTGGAGAAAAGTTTTCCTCAGAAAAAGATAATTGTAATAAAATAATTTAAAAAAAAGACCTAAATATAGCAGCACACACATGAGTTAGAAGTGACTAGCACAAAATATAACACGATTTCAATAGAAAGACAAAATAACATTGAACAATGATAACATAAAATACTTAAGAAAAACTAATATTTCTCTCCCTTATTAACAAACAAAAATCTAATTTGCCCTAAAGTTTTGTACAATCACTAGTATCTGATTGTTTTTGACAGTCACAAACATTGTTGACATTAGCAATAGAGCTATTAATAGAATTATTAGCATTATGAGCTATTGTAGATAGCTGATTATCATGCGGACTCAAATCTAAACTATTTATATTTAATTTTGTTTCACTTACAGTTCTTTTATAGACGACAAAACTGCCATCATCAAATGTATCATCGATAATTCCATGAATATCCTTTTGTTTGGTTAATTTTCGTTTTGACTCTGTTGATGTTTGAGCATTTGTACTATGATAATCTTGTTGATCACGAACAAAATTGACAAAGACGTTGTCAAGTGTATTTTGATTAACACTATAATCCAATATTAAATATTTTACATTTAATAAATATTCTAATTTTTGAAAAATTAATTTTAATGGTATTTTTTTATTATCAATTTCATATTGGAGGATATTTAAATGTTTTTCTTTTAATATGGCATAAGAAGAAAATTCAATATTAAAATAATCTAATACCAGTTGTAAATAGTCATTACTGGCTGTTGATGATGATATTGAATCATCAGAAATTGTTTGTTTTAAACGAATTTTTATTGTATAACCATCTCCAAAGCCTGAAAATATTATTACATAAACTTAAAATAGTTAACAAAATTTCATTATAACTAACTTACGATTTTTCAAATGTTGAGTTGATCCAAGACAACGAAAACAACCATTTACCATGATAGCTAACGAACCACATAATTCTTCACACTCTTCCATACTAAAATAGAAATGAATACGTTTGTATAAACTGCAATATTAAAATAGAAAGGTGAAACCAGTGTAAAAGTCAAAAATTCAATTTAATTTGTTCTTTAGAGTATAAGTCTCAGATTTTGTTCCTGTTTTACCAGTTACTTTAACTATAATATGACTGATGCATGTTTTTGTATGGCAATATGTTGATTAATACAAGATTTCATAGAAAAACAGAATCTTAACACGATATTCAATGATTGTGATGTTTTGCAAGTCATTTGAAAAATTTTCTACTTCATAAAAAGTTGAAAATACGTTCTCTGCAGAAGAAAGTTGATATATCAAACTCATTTTTCGACTTTTTATATGCATGAAAAAAAGTAAAAAAAGTCTTCATATCTAAAACCACTAAAAGATACGATTTCAAGTGTTACATGCAGGGGCGTCTATTCTGTGGGATGTGTTGAGGCGCAATGCCTCAAACAAACGTAAGGTGGTACGCTTTTTTGCTGTAGAAATTCATTTTTCAGGTGGTACACTGAGAGATCGAACCTCCGAGGTAGTATAAAATGCCTTAAATATTCAGATGAGGATAGACGCCGCTGATTATATGACATACCTATGAGATGTTAGAATAATCGATCGACCATCTTTGATAAGTTGACGAATAACATTCCATAGAAATCGTCGAGCACTGGGATCCATACCACTAAAATAAATCAAATAGTTTTTCATACATGTTTCATAGATAACAAAGAAATTATGTCTTACCTCGTTGGTTCGTCCAGAAATAAAATTGTTGGATCTCCAACCAATGCTAAAGCAGTACTCAATTTTCTTTTATTACCCAATGACAATTTTCCAACTGGTATATTATAATATTCGACTAGATCAAGTTTTTGTAACAAATTTGTTGCTATTGCTTTCTCATCTTCCCATAAAATTCCTCTCAAACGTGCAGTTAACAACATATGTTCAAGAGGTGTTAATTCATCAAATAGAGCATCAAATTGTGGACAATAACCAATATGTTTGAAAACTTGCCGTCTTTCCTTAATACTATCGAAACCATTTACACGAGCATAACCAGCTAAAATTACAAGAGTTAATTAATTAATTATTATTTTATACTCATATATGTGATAATTACCAGTAGGACGAAGATCACCAGTTAACATTCGAAATGTTGTTGTTTTTCCCGCTCCATTTACTCCCAATAGACCAAAGCAATCACTTGCCGGTATTCCAAGACATATATTATTAACAGCAATTAAATTTTTTTTTATACGTGTTTTATATGTTTTTGATAGATTATATAATACAAGTACATCATCGATACATTGTTCTTTTAATACATGTTTTCTTGCACGTCCAACATCTTCATCTTCATCCAAATGAGAAATTGGTAATGCGTCTGGTATTTTAGGAGAATAGAAAAATTCATATTCTAATAATAATGTTAGAATCCAAAAAACAACGCCAGATATTGCCATTGATACTAAATTAGATACAACAATTTCCCATTGAAATGGTGAACGAATTTTATCATATAAACCAGTTTTCTTATAAAATGAATTATAATAATCATTATAAGCAATATCAATTAATCCACGACCAAGACAATAGTTTGGAAAAATTCGAAATATTTTTTTAACATTACGAGTTATTTTACTTAACATGGATGTTGGCGAATTTCCCATATCAAATATTTCGAGAAAGAAGGACGTATATATACATGTAATACCTAAAATAAATATATTTTTCTTGTATTTCTATTAAATATGGTCACTCAAAAAAAAGAAAATAATAATAATAATAATGAATAATTGAAACTTACCAGAGAATAAATTAATAACAATAAGAAAGATGTATGCATTGCTTGGCTCAGTAAATTTAAAGCTAAAGGGATACATAAGAGGAATAATGGACCAGCCATAGAGAAGAAATAATGAAATGACAGCAGTAAAATTTTCTCCTTCAGTATAGGCAGGCACATTAAATAATCTTAAAATAACAATAACACATGCAGCAGGCAATAAATAATTTAATAAATCCCATATGAAATTTGTTAACCAATAAATTAGTGGATAAAGACCATTAATATATTGAATATGTTTCGATTTTGTTGCTCGTTCATACACAAGAAATAATGTAAAAGAGGCGGGAACAAATGACATGGCAACAATAATAAATATTGAAATAACAACATCACTACCTTGTAATATGAACTCAGTTGATAACATGTTATTTGTTTCATTCATCGGATGATTAATTGTTGTTATACCGTAGGCTGATGGTAACCCTTTTGATAAAGGAATATTAGCTCGTAATATTGCATTTGACATGATATTTATGTACAATGGTAATGTATGATATCCTTTATGATTTGTAAATATTACTGCCGTATTTCTAGATCCAAGTTTTTGTAACATATAATAAGGATTTTTAGAGTATTCTAGATGTTGATTGGAGTTATAATCATATTTTGTGGGATAATTGTGAGGAATAAATGACTGAGTAAGACCAAATGATAAACCACCGTAACGATTTAAACGATAGTTATCAACTGTCTAAAATAAACATAAATAAATCTGAATTAATGTATTCAAAAATGAATTAGAAAATTATAATTTTAGAAATATGTTATCTATTATTGGTGGTTCACTTACATAAAGATAATATAGAATTTCATTTGATTCTAATGTTATATTTAAGATATAATCATTTGTTATAAGATGTCTTGCTGGAGGATTATGAAACATCTGACAGATAAAACGTGACTGATGTGATGAACAGTGACACGGAACATAATAGAGTGAAGATGTTACTGTTGGAATATTGCTAAAATTTCTAGCTGATGTTGAATTTTCATTTTGTTGTGCTAATAATGCTGATGACCACGAGATATCATTTAATGAGCCTGCTTCCATATCTGGTTGATATACTTTAGAACAAGAATTGCTAAACATATTCAAAGATAATATTTGTTTCATATCTGTTATATTCATGTAGGGATCACGTAGTACACATATCGAACCAAGTGATGAAGGGAGCAGAATTGTATCACTCAGTTTTTCGGGACCAGCACATGTTTCATCTTCTACACTATAATTTGGAAGTTTTCTCGAGTTTAAACCAGATACCGGTGTATAAAGATAATTCATATTAGAAAACATTGAAGTTGACATTGTTAATGATGGAGGATCAGAGAAACCTGGAGCAGAGAGTGCTACTGTCATTGCAACGGTTATAAAAAAGGCTGGCAATAATATTTGAGTGGCTAATGCACGCCAATTTCGATAATTGTATGTAAAACGTTTTATGATGATAGCCATTGCCTGTTTCAGATACAAACTTGTTCCAGTGGCACGATTTTGACCTAATAAAGCTAAAAGTTCAAAAATGATAATTTAGGTAAGAAAATTCAAAAAGATATTTTTAATGAAGAAATTCTACAACTAGTTATGAAAATCAAAACTAAAAACACTTATCACACAAATTGGCTTACTATTTGTTTTTATTTCAGATAATTGCGATAACGATTTGGTATCTGTTGTCGTCGGGGATTCAGTCGTAGAATTTTCTGAATTTTGTTCCAATATATCTCTAGAAAGAGATTGATACAATATTCAACGAGAACAGTAATTACTATGTTTATTTTGATACGTACGAAGACGAAGATATCTCCGTATTGTCTGACATATTCCCAGCTGTCGTCGCCGTCTCTGTGGTTAAATCATTCGAAGCTATAGCTAAAATAGAATAAAATGTATAATAACAAGGTAACTGATCGTTCAATCTTCCATCGTACTTGATGTTTGTTTATATTCTTCTGTTATTTTTAGAAATACTTCTTCTAATGATACATCTTTCAAGCCGTAACTTTTTATTGATAAATTCATTAACTTTGAATCTAATACGCTGAAAAATTCTGGAAACATATGTCGATTTTTAAGAGGTAAAACATATTGTAATTCTCTAAATAAAACGCATCGTTCATATTATAGGTAACAAAATAAAACGATCAAATGATTGTACATACCGTCGGGTTTCTTCTTTTAGATACGCATTTACTATTAGTTTCGTAATAAACGATGTTGTGGCATCTTTGCTACACATCCATGGCTCTACAAGAGACTTTCATTTAAAAAAAGATTTAACAATAAAGGTTGAACTTACCATCCTTGACAAGTGTTAAGATATAACCATCTCCAAAGGTATTCTGCAAAAAATATAGCGAAGATATCGAATATGTTTAGAAAAAGTTCATAACAGTGATATTAATTATTTACCTTTAAAAACAACGATGTGCCACAACATTTTAATTGACCATCTAAATAAACAAAGATGCACTTTAGGTTAAAACGATGTTATTTTCATTGAACCACATTTATCAAAGCGAACAAAAAAAAAATAAGTACATAAATATGTCAACTATCAAAGTTAAGGAGTTAACGGCTAATATGTTTGATGTGGTACCCCAGAAAGGATAGATCATTTCAAGTACACAGATACCATCATACTACAGAGTTTTTCTTATCAATGTCGAGCAACACCATTTTTTTCCCTTACTTGATATTATAGCTACGCGATCACCAAGCGTTTCAGCTTCATCCATGTGATGCGATGATAAGAGAATTGTTCGTCCTTGTTTAAGTTTAACTAACAATTCCCATATTGAGCGTCTAGCATACTAAAAATAAAAATAAAGTTTCAAAGATATAACACGTTTAACTTCGACTAATGCTTGATTTCATACCGGATCAACACCTAAAATAAAAAAATAAAATTAGATATTATTAAATAGATACACCGTATATATTTACTAACCAGCTGTTGGTTCGTCTAATATCACAGTTTTAGCATCACCCACAAACGCCCTTTGAAAAAAAAAGAAAAAAAAAATTTATCTATCGAATTCAATTTATAATTCAGTATCCATACATTGCAACAGATAATTTACGTTTCATTCCGCCCGATAATGTAGAAACGATTGCATTTCGTTTTAATGTTAATCCAACATCCATTAACATACTAAAAACAAAGAGAAAATAAAAGATGTTTTCTATTGCATGCGTATAATATTCAATAATTTGAATGACGAATAAATATATTACTTTTCAACCATCTTTTCCATTACATGACTATGAACTTGCTTTAATTTTGAAAAAAATAATAAATGTTCTTCAACGGTCAGTTTATCAAATAGTACATTCTAATTAAAATAAAAAAAAAGTCTAATTAAAACAGCAAAAAACATATTCTTCATCTTACATGTTGAGGACACCATCCAAGATTGGTGCGTATTGTATCCATGTCAACTCTAATATCTTGATCATAAATTGTTGCATAACCACTGCTGGCAGGTATTAAACCCGTGAGTATGGACATTGTTGTTGTTTTACCTGCTCCATTATGTCCCAAAAAGGATAAAATTTGATCTTCAAACAAATTTAATGATAAATTTTGTACTGCAAATTTTTTACGATCATACACTTTTGATAAATTAACAATGCGAACACCAATTTTAAGTTTCGATGTGTTTTCATTTTCAAAATAGTCTGAAATTTAAAAATAATAAGAGATAGTTTTATGGATGAAAATTTACAAATGAAATTTTTGATTTTTATTTCATACTTTGATTACAATTTGGATTGGATATTACAGTATCATCAAACTGATGTTTTATATAATTTCGTGAAAATATTCTTACTAAATATGTTTGTTTAAGTTTCAAGAGCCAATTTGGTTCTGTGTACATTGGACCGTACCAGTAATTTAATGTGAAAGGAAAATACCATTTTTTTGGTATGCCGTATGAACCAGGATACACGTTCTCCACATACCACATGAGAATAAGATGAATGACTGTGTCCAAAAGCATAAACATCACTGTTTCAAAACATGTAAATTTATCACCTTCAACAGGAGACAATCGAATATTGTTAAATTGAATTCCTGTACCTAAACATGAAAACATATTTTATCTTATTATGCTTCATGGAAAAACATTCTCACCAGTGATTTATCTAGTGTGTAGGCCGGTTTCGATTTGCCTACCCGAAAATTATACAGTTGATTTCGTAAAAAAAGACGATGTTCTCTCTCTCTCTCACTTTCACTCTCAAAGTTTTTAGCCAATAGCCCCTCCAAAAATCTCAAGCGCCTACCCGAAAAACGAAACCTAGATAAAACACTGATTCTCACATAGGAGAAACTCAAAAACACTGTTTAACTGTGTCAAATTCGCAATCATATTACCTATATTCTCATAGAAAGCTATATATTTTGAACCCATTCCAAATGCTGATGTTGAAAATAATGACTATAAAATATCAAAAATTTATCAAATAAATATCATTCAAATAATAAATTCATTCAATTTTGAAATGAATTTACATTTAGACTTACACTCATAATTTTTGTCCATCGAGGTATAATATCCTGTGCCAAATCTTCTCTGATAGAAATGTACATACATGGAACATAAGATAATAAATAGATGATACCCGAACAAGCAGCCGCTATTTTTGCTTTAGAATAAAATACACTAATCAAAAATCTAGAAATAATAATAATTAAAAAAAAAGTGAATGAAAAAGTGTATGAAAAGTGTATTTTTTGTAGTCAATGATGATACGTACGCAAAACTAATTGTCGCTAAACTATAAACTTCAAGTATAAGAAATATAAGAAATGGATTTGAATGCATCAAAACTTTTCCATAATGTAATATGAGTGTAACAGCAACCATAACTAATGTTGTTTGTGTAAAAATTGTGATAAACCATGCTACCCAGTGTACTCCATTGCTCAATCCCATTATTTTCATTACCTAATAAAATGACAGTGTTAATTTTTAAAAACAAAAATTTGTCGATATGACTGTTTCTTACTTCTTTAAGACGAACTTCTTTTTCGTAAACAATATGTTGTGTGAGCATTGCAAAAGGATAAAGACATGAAATAATTAAGCAGAGTGGTAATGCATGTTGAATCATTTGTAGAAAACTAAAAAATAACGATAAATTATATGATTTTATTGTTGAACGACAAGTGAGAACTTACTTATCATAAAGATAACAAGGATAAGCCATTTCTTGAAAGAATAATCCAGGCTCTGAAACTGGCCTACCAACTTGAGTGTCAATAATGGCCCGATCAATCACTTCCTATAGTAGATAAATAAAAGTTCGATTTTCTATTTTCACTCGCAGAAAACAATAACTAAAATTATTTACTAATAACAAGCAATTCCAACACCTCTTCTGTTATTGTGACGAACGAAAGTATCTCGTTATCCTGGATTCATAAAACTACGATTTGTATATGAATTTTGTATAGACTTAACTTGAATAAAATATTCAGTGCTCATATAAATGCCAAATGTTCAATCATCTAAATTTCGAATATTATTTCTTATCGATTTAAAAATTATAGCCATTTTACGAGTAATAATGATCGTTTCATGAAAAATAAATAGCCATACCTGTTGTAAATATGAGTAGACAATACTAATATATCTCTGCTATGGGAAACTTGAGAAATCAATGGTCTTTCTCTTTACCATAAATGTGAAATATACTCGTGCGAAAGTACGATAATCATTCAACTATTCATCAAAATTTAATTCGAGTTTTAAATGTAACTGTTAAACTACAAGTCCTTCAAGATTCCTTCATGAAAATTGATGTAACAAAATCAATCGCTTGAAGTTTCTAGGATCCAAAGAAAATTGTCTCTACTATTTATAAATATCCTACTTTTCCGAAGAAAATATGTAGGATGATGTAGACAAATCGAAATATTATTAAAGTATTTTAGTTCAAACAAAGATACAAGCTGATACACTAATCAAATGTCTGTTAATTGAGTATATTGTAAAATTGTGAACCAGAATTAATCACGTTCATATCTACACTTATTTATTCAACTATTTAGTTTCAAAACATGCACGTTTGAGCATCTAACAATTCTGATGTAATATATTGTTTAATTTGTGACTACCGTGTTTTAGTTTTAACTACTACTATGTCCATAAACCCAAATTATTTTGTAATACAACCTGTTACATTACCTGAAATTTCAGACAAAGTTAGACCATTTTTAGTGTACACAATGCTAAAACACCAAAAAATACAAAAAATTGTAAAATTAGTCTGAATCAGGATTTCTGTGCAAAGGATACCCATGATTACTTTTATAGATTGAAATGAAATTTGTGATATGGAGAATTTATATCCGAAAACAATTATTCTATAATATCTAAACTTAATCTTTTATTTTTGCTTCGATTCACATTGTTCACCTCTGCAATAGTGAGCTTCGAAACTTTATGTAAATAATTTACAATCCTGAAAATGTTAGCTCAACAGATATGGCTATTTTTTTTTCCATCAAATAATCATTGTTAATCGTGAAATGGCCATAATTTCTAAAGCAATAAGACATAATACTTGAAACTTATACCATTGATACATTGTAGTTTATGAACAATTGCTTACTTCTTTTGAATTAGACAGCTATCTGCATTTCAGGGAAAGTAAACAGATCACCAAGCCAAATGTAGTGATATGAGAATTCAGTATTTTATTCAAGAGAAACGCATGTAAAATTTCAAATCAATATCCGTCGTAAGTCGATGGAGGCAGAATAATGAGATATACTTGTTCACCGCCGTCAACAGAAGAGATTCGAAAAAAATATACAATGTTTGTGGTTTAATTATGTCACATACGATAGATGGATGAATTTAAGACCTGCTGCTCACATCGTATGAAATGAGTACTTAGGAACTCCACATTTCCGTGTTCTTTCCAGTTCACGTCCGAAAAGAAGCCTGTTATAGATGAAAATGTGAATGATGTAACATTTTAATTCTAGTGAAATTTCTTCGTCTGAGATAATGAAAAAAATCTTGTATGCAGCATCAAAATAGATCGTATTATTAAATTACACATTCTATCTGATTAGTGACGTATTTTGATGAGTATGTCAGAAATAAATTACAAGGTACTTAGAGCACGGACGTCTGTCGCTGATAAACTATCAAAACATCATAATTCAATAACAATCGTCACTTATTTAGAACAAATTCTTCTGTAACCGCAACATCAGAACAACAACGATAACAATGAATCAGTTGGAGATGTGCAATACACAATAATGATCAACCAACGCTTAAATTATTGATAAGAGCTGTTCATTCAATACATACTATTCTTAAAGACAAAGAACGACAAGAATCTTATTTCTGAAAGTTTACCAAAGATAGGAATTTATTATCTGTCGTTAGAAATGATTGATCACATAACATAACATAAGAGATTTTGTTTACTGATAATGCCTAAAACACTCTGTTTGGTACCTTAAATAGGCAAAGTTGAACAGACAAAGCTATAAACTCCAAATATTGCAATGAAATCATCCGTTCTTTGATATTCAATACTATAGAGTTGTCAATATTGTCTCATTGTAGATTGTACGCTGATGTTAACGAATGCTGACGCTTCATTAAAAATTCAAAATGGACGATATGAAATGCCTGTTGAATTAGAAACATCTTCCTCATCATTATTTTCACTTGTGCATATCTACACCACAATCGCTAACAGAACGTTCTTCAATAATGGTGGCTCCAGAAACAAAGCAAAATGAGAATGAGATAACAACATCGACGTTCACCATCCATGAGTTTGGCAAAACAATGACGTAAATTGCACGTATTATTACAGACATGAATGTTACCGAATCAGTATGTATTAGAAAAACAAATTAATGAATTAAAAGAATGCCTGACTAGAAGTTAACTAAATCAACAGTTGATACGTAGAAAACTGCATAAATTGTGAAATTTATGGACAAAAAAAAAGCGATTGAAACAATATCACCGATGGTTAGAATCTCAACAAAATTGATCACCACAAGAGTACGATATTACTTTTCGATTCTTTTTTTAGTGATACAAAAGATTTGAAATCAAAACGAAAATATAAATGTTTATGAGGAAAACCCAGAGCATTAGGATTATAATGATCTGTTTTTAATAAATGACTTTCATAACTCAGCTCTTATCTTTAATTCTTACTAATTGTCGTGTACTTACTTGAACCCAAGAGAAACCAAAGTCATAATAGACAAAGCCATTTTGAGCTGGAGATGGAACCCAAAATCTATCTCTGACACGTTTTGTTGATGGAGTTAAGGAAGCATTTTGTCGAATTTTGTATACGACATGAGGCGGTAATTTTGTATCATTCATATTTACGTTGTTAAACACAACGCTAGCTAATACGGTATAATTCTCATGATATGCTCGTCGAAGAAAATAATTGACTAGATCATTTTCATCTGAAAATCCTCTAAACACATTTAGATTAATGCCTAGAAAAAATAACAACACAAAATCATAAAATTTTTATTTATCAATAATAAAGCCGATTTTAATTTTACCAGAAATCAAGGAAGACCATGTACAAGCAGCTTTATCAATCGCTGATATTTGTTTCAGATAATTTGGTACGGATGGATCACTAATATTTTTTAAAATTTTACTAATATTAGTTAGCTGTGGAATTGGTATAAATGAACCGTAATTAACAATAAAATTTTTCATCTAATCGCAACAATAAAAGAGAACTAATCAAGAGAAATTGATTAAAAACAAACAATATCTTACATGTCGAAGGGATTCAACTTTTTTCTCTGTACCATTAGCGAGAAAATAATTTTTCAAAACTTTTGATACTCTGCCCCATTCATTTGCATATTTTGTAACTGTATCTAATAGGATAAATGTTGAATTGGCCTAGAGTAAAACAGAAAAAAGGAACGGCGTTAATGATTTATGAAAAAGAAAAACTATTTATACTTTTGATATAACGTCATTGATTAAAGTATTATTGGGTGAATATAAAATCTGAGAATTCCCATACAAAACGTAAAACAGTAAGCCCAATTGTCGTTGTTGATTATCACTTATACCAAGTTCAGCTGAGAAGAGAATTTTAATTTAAATTCGTATGTCTATATATTGTCACTTACCCAAATCTGGTGGTTTATCATCTGATGTATCACTGTCTACATTCAAGGCAGCTGCAGACGGTGTTGTGCCGCAGATTGACTCTTGCATAGTTAACCATAATTGATAAAAACCTTTATTTCGCTTTAGTTTATTCATTGCCACAGATTCCTAGAATTAGTTTTTAAAGCATTACTATCATCAACATTATGCAAATTCTAATATCACTTAACTTAATTCAGTAGAAACACTCACTCACTCACCTTCTCCTAATAAAAGTTAGTTACAGTAATGCATTGCGTAGCCTCTATTCTTTTATTGTGAGTAGCTCTGAGATGCTTGTTGCGTATAATCACCTATATAATCTCCCAATCTCTGAATGGTGTGGTTAGAAATTTTGTGGATAGCAGCTGATATCACGCTGATATTCTGAAGCGGTATCTAGAGAATTGTTTATGTTCAGAACAATTTTTGTTCAAATGAATCTCATTTACTGATAGGGCCTAACAATCAAGTGGTTCGTTATTAGACAGAGCAACGAATAATGGATGTGCATGTGTTACTACCATCAATTTTTCGTAACCTGGATCTGCTTCTAGACTGGGACAGATGAATGATTGCTTTCAAAAAAGAAAGATCGTCGAATTGATCGAATGATAAGTGAGACGATATTCGTGTCTGACAGTTTCCACATTTCAAGAAAATAGCTGTGCTGTTTCTAGTGCGAAACCTCAATAAGGCAAGAAACTAATTCCGTATAAATAAATAAAGCCTAAAATAACTAATTCCGTGGACATCAACGTTTCACTATATCAAAAGTAAGTGATCGATGTCTGAAGAAATTCGAAGTGTTAACCCTCCCAGAATAGAAGGCCGTAGTCTTCTACGATGGTTTCGCACATCGCATGTAGGTTCAGTTTTAGATAGCTCTTTCTATTATGAATGGACGAAATATGGTTTAAATGTGAATATATCTTCAGGCTAACTGGGAATGAGATATAATGAATAAAGTGAAGCTGATGAAATGATGAATTTGACGGAAGAATCGATATGTATGAGTGCGTGTGTGTATGTATGTAGAGAAGTGGAACAAGAAACGATTAGTGTCATGAATCTGCGTCAGACAATCATCACATTTAACCTTTCAGCGACGAAACTGCAAAAAGCAAAAAACAGGAAATAAAAAAACTTGAAAAACTTAATGCAAAAGTGTGAATGGAATGATTATATATTAGATGAAGAGTGTTATTATGTGCATTCAGTCATCCTACGCCTCTCCACTGCTCTCGAATATATTATATCCTCCTTTAATTTTGATAAAGAGTGTTTTCATTGAAACAATTTTTTTTAAATTCACTTTTTGAATTCTGCTTGCGCTCCATTTACGCTTATGTAGACATTTTCATCTGTTTTATACTCGTTTTCGACTAAGCACTTACCACATTGCCTGAAAGTGCGATAGATGGACGTAGCGTGGTGGTGGTTGTAGTACTCTGATTACTACTTTGTGTTGAATTATCAACTAAACGGCACGAATTTGTACGAAGGATTTGCGCCAGGCCATAAAGATCGTTTAAGCCTTGCTCGAACAGAGAATATTTCTCTAACTAAATTGAATAAAAAATATCGAAAATTAGTAGTTTTCACTCTTTAAAATCTTTTATAGTTATATATCTCACCTTGTCGATGTAATCATTCAACTGTAATAACATTGCTGATGATTCAAGAAGTCCTAATGCCAACTAAAAAATGAAAATGAAAAACGAATCTTTTAGGTATTATTCTATGCTTCAATTCACTAAAGTTCACTTACAATTTCGCTAATGTGTTGACTTGAAATAGTACTCATCAATAAATTTAAAAGACTTTGATATTGTTCTGGTGTCATTCTACATAAACGTTGTTGTAAATCAGTCTTAAACAAAAAGTTAACTGAAATAAAATGCACAAACTATTAGTTCTTTACTTACCTGATTGATTTTTGATGAATTAATATGAAATAGATCAGTAGTCGAATTACAAAATGCTTTTCTCATTATGCCTATCATGTCTATGTCAGATGATGTTGAGAGTTTTTCCAATAGCTCAGCACGTTTTAAAAAATCATCATTATCATCATCATTAACATCTTTTGGCAATATTTGACGTCGAACACGTTTAGGTGATAATATTGTTTGATGATTAGCAGATAATAAATTATATAACTAAATGAAAAAACATACTTATTTTGTTTAAGCTTTATTTGTGAAAAGAAGAAAAAAGAAAGAATTTCCGTTGAATCAATATAGAACAGCAAAAAGAAAGGAATAGATCCATGACATCATTTTGACTGTTCAACAAGTGAAAATTGCCAGTATAATAGTAAGTAAGAGAGACACACTTAATGCATGTAGTCAAAGAATAATAGAGTCAGATACTTGTTAATGTGAGCTAAGAAATGTTATTAGAAGATTGGTTTGTCATTGTTTAAAGGATTTTAAATCGTCTGATACACAGTCTTGTTGGTTAGTGACACTCTGGAATGTCAAAGAAACTGTTGCAAAACTCATCAGAAGCTATCCTTTAGTTGATCGTTTATTTCACACGCAGATTAATTCAAAAGTTAGATACAATTATTCACACTTCGATATCTATTCAAAAAATAGATACATTCTGTATCATACTTCTCGTTTATTATTCTGTTTTGACTGAAAATACATTTAAAAATTGTTTTTATTATTACTTCACGATGGTTATACTTGCCTCAACTGGATTAATTGTTAATGAAATCAAAGACTGAGCATCAGTTAACGAGTAATTTAATTGTTCAGTTAGAAAAGGATAAAATATTGATAAATTTTGAAATATATGACTCGTTAAATTTGACAATGTGTCATAGATGAATGCTGGTCGATCGATCATTGTCTCGTAAATATCGGGCAAAGAATCAATATCATTAACAGAAAAATCTTTTGTAAAAAATGGATTTGTACGAGTAATTCGATCAATTGTGATTAAAATATTTGTTGAGCTAAAGAAAAATGGGAAAAGATAACAAAATGATCATATACAGAGTAGTGGAAATCGTACCTCCCATTTGGATAAATGCTAAAGCCTGAAATGACAATAAATAATTAAATAAATGAGTTAAATATTCATTTATTTTACTATTAACTCACCATTTTCATCGCTTGGGAACGATTTTGGACAAAAACTTTGCATTACCGAAAGAATACCAGATGATGGTAGTGGTCGTGGACGATAGGCATAATCAAGATTATCAGCTGAGTAATTCGTTTCACGAGTAAAAACGGCTGGTTGTGTATGACGAATACCCGTCATAACTAAAAACAACACCAGTGGAATAAATAATTCAAAAATAAGAACAACCTGAAGAAGAAGAAAAAAATTCCTGTAAAAATATAGATTAGATTACGAAATATTTTTTCCGCTTACTGGACTACGTTTCTTCAATATATAATTTTTCCATAGCAACACTCTGAGTTGATGAAAAAAAATTACTGTCATGGAAAAAATAATTAATAGTGGAATTAAGAAATTAAATTAAAAAATATAGAGAACTCAGCATCTGCAACAAAGAACATTTTTAAAGAATATATAAAACAGAGGATGATTAACGTATTAAAAACAGAAAATACTTAAAGATATGATGTAGTATTCAATTAATCCTAACAAAAGAAATAGTAATTGACTATGTTCATGTAGCAAAAAATAATTACAAAAGGAATAGAAAAAATAATGTCGAAAAGATTACATAAAAGATTGAACAGTAAATTATACACTGAATGTTGTATTATTCGATGCTTGTGCTGTTAGTTCATGATCCGGTGAAGTCGTAAACGATTGCAATGTTCCCGGTCGATTTAATCCGGATTTAAATTGCGTTACACTAATTTCAACAAATTGTTTGTAAACACTAAAACAAACCGATAATTATTAACGTAGCTATACAATAATAAATAGAGATAGACACTTACTTTAACAACGATGGATGAATGTTTTTCTTCAGATTCTCATTTGCTTGATCTAGTGCATTCAATTCCATCAGGCTACCTTCACTTTCTGTAAAGTCCTATAAAGCACAAACGAATGAACGATAACAAAGTCAAATTGCGAGAAAAATCTCACTTTAAGTGTACAGTATGATCATGTGACAAAAATTTTGCCGTTTACAACGTAGTCTACCATTCGAAAAGTATTTTTCTCCTAAAAGATTCATTTGTGAACGACAAAAATTGATCACACGGGTGAGTGAATTGCATAGTCATTGTGCCGATAAGGGTTTACTCAATATTTCACTTATAAAATCCGTTCAACTAAACAGAATTCAATAATTTTCTTTTTGTTTTGGTTGCTTTTTTTTTGTCGTTTCGGAGACATTCGAAAAATACACCATTTTAGTATCATCTGTCTGCGAAGCCTGTTTCTTTTTAAAAATAAATATTCAAATAAATTTACTTTCCAAATTATATCAATTTGTAGCTCAGATTCCGGGCTTTCAAAATATCTAAAATGATCTACAACATTAAAATGGTCATATCTTGATCAAGACTTGATTTAATCTCACACATTATATACCGATCGATTCGTGTTCGATAGATGCATCTACTAGTTTATTAGGATGATCAAATATTAATGTCTGTAGCCAAAAAACATTAAAAACCTGAATTAGTGTAAAATTTCAAACTCGTTAACTATTATGACATCTCATGTGTCTAAAATCTGATAGTACCTCCTCCATATAAGAAATCTTGTCAAGTTCTATTCGTTGATTTATCATACAATTGTACTCAAAGTAATATGACGACTTTTTATTCAAAAAATGTGAAATAGTAGTCAACTAATCCTTATGGTAATGGTGTTTTTGAAAAACGTGTATCCAGATGTTGACAAAATACTGTATTCATATCCATTCGACATAGGTGCCTCGAATGTACAACTCCGATTTTTTTCATCTACGACTTTATTTTTTCGACTCCTTTTTCTCAGATGATACGGTACAATGTTTATGCAATTCGCTCAGGTAAGTGAGTATGAAAAGTGCACAGTGCCTATGAAAAATACTGGAAGGGCTTCTTCTATCAATCATTTATTTCGGTAACTACAAGTGCGATCTAAACCAATGATGACCATGTCTAACGAGGAATGATCCCCAACTGATAAATCGCTTTTTCAACGAAACCGACTGGACTATAGGTAGTCGACGATGCTGATTCCGAATACCACCATGAATGCTGCCGCT